AGCTCCATTTGAACAGGAAGACAGTTCGGAAATTGACTGTGTACAAACTATGATTGAATCTTCTGACGAAGATTAAATTAATTCTCGTTAATCTTGTCTGTCCTCATTAATACATTATACCACTTTAAATTAAGCGTGACAGATGAAGAAACTGTTTCGTAACAACAATCCAGAATCCCATATGTATGATGAGGTTTATACAAACAAATTGAAAGTAGAGGCATCTGAGGCATGAAAATCGAGCTGTTGACATTTTGCTTGCTTAACTTTTTACATAGGCATGGATATATAACAAATTAAGCGTGTCAGTTGTTTATTCGCTGAAAAGTTTTATTCGACAAAATTAGGATTTCTAACTAACTACGGTTTACCAAGATAAAGGTAAGTGTAAAATTTACGGGTAAAAAAAATTCGTCATTATGAGAGAAATATCTAGCAATTGCATAGTCGGTTTCAACATACACTCGCATATTTGTAAGGCAATGAAAAAATCTATACTCATTTCCATGCATATCAAATACATATTTAGTCGCATAATCTCTTGTCTGCATGGTAATTGCATTTTGTATTATGCATGGTCGTAAACAAATTACTATAACCTTAGTAACTTATCTATATTTCAGCGTCTAGTCAAATCCTTATGATCTAGTCAATTCCAAACGTTATCGGTGTGTATCCTATAGTAACAAATGTAAATCACAGTATGCCGTGGTTCCCTGCTGTTACAGTTATACTAGATCCAAACGTTAGGTCTTAGGACATATATCAAGTACAAAATCGCTACTCGCACGAACAGAATAGCCGTGCTCAACATTTTTTTTATGTCAGAAATCTTTTACTACCATTTAGCACTAATTAGACAACGAAGCCGAGTTTTCTATGAGCGCGGAATAGTCGAGGCGAAGCCGAGTTGTCTATGAGCGGACTAGTCAACGAGGCGAAGCCGAGTTGAGGCTGAGTTCTTTAAAGGCCATGTTACACGGTGCAATTTTTCTTGCAACTTGCAGTGCAATTCTACTCTTGAGAGATGTAAAATTACCAAATACGAGTCTTCATTACACTCCGCTGATGTTTTCTCAACATATCGAAAATTCTTCACAGATTTCACCAATTAACATCTCTCAAGAGTAGAATTGCATTGCAAGTTGCAAGAAAAATTTCACCGTGTAACATGTCCTTAACAGTTTTAGTATAATTGTATAAACCACATAAAGAAAACTGAATTTTTAACTTGATTAAGGAAATGACAGTTTTAATGGCTTCCTTTGGCTTTGGCGACATTTCGCCTCCGCCTTGTTGACCGACTACTCAGTGCAGTTGCAAACTCCCAAGAATAACTTGAAAAATAGTACTTCTGAGTTTTAAAAAGGTTAAAAAACATGCTTTAAAACAAGATAATAGCAAGGGGTCGTTACACAAGCAAAGTTTGGCTAATTAAAAGAAGGAAACAAGGCTTACAAAATCCAACATTTCAAAAATGGCTTCCTGAATTGTTACTAAATAAAGTTTACGTTAAAAAGCCGAGTAAAAATGCACATAAAAGAATCAGAATGTCGTTAAAATCTTTAAAATATCCATCATCTAGTATACATAGACAAAAGTTCAGATTAAAATTTAATCGAAAAACTCGATTAAAAAGGCTCGGAAAAGGAGAAAAACAAACTTGGCCAAAATCTTGACATTTAAACGAAAAAACTTTAAAATGATAGCTAAATACATGAACTCGTTTTTTTACCGTATGTGTCAGCAGTTTCCAAGAATCTTTCTTTGTGTGTAATCCAGAACCAAAATTAGGCCATTTTGATAAGCTTTTTTCCATTGACTCTCGCGCCATTCCGCGCTTGTTGCACTATACCAGTAGGCTATCACTAATAGTCTACTAGTAGCGTAGCCAATCAGAACGCACGAAATATGATAGCCTACTAGTAGGTTTATACTAAATACATAATTACATATAGTCAGGGCTTTATAGTTTCTATATAATCATATACATACAAACATCACCAATTTACTCCATACTTGCGATCCACTTATATTGTCTGCTTATTTGCCAAACCTGATCTCCATGTCTACTCCAACTCTCTATATACTGTGTGGAGTAAGAACTCGCGTCTAAAACATGAAGCAACATATGGCTCAAAAATTGACGTCCGGTGCCAGTCCCTTTCTGTTGTTCTCGTCTGCGCGGTTGACACGAAGACACAAGGATCGAGCGTGCCGAAATTTCGTGTTTTGACTCCGAAATTAAAGAATTATAAAATTATTGTTTGATAGCTTGGATTTATAGCTTGGCAAAGTGGTATGAAAACTGTTTATGATCGACCTTCACAGATTTTCACGTCAATTCCCGCCATTTGGCTTGATTTTTTTACTTGATTTTCTAAATTCTAAGCGAATTAATGCATCCGAGCGAAAACAATTTTTGACCAGAAAACGGAATGATCTAACCGGCTAAAATGGCGGGATGGATTCATTGATAATACAGTATATATGAAAACGCAACAACGCATATAGCCAGAGACTGAAATTTAGTCAGTAAAAGATGTAATTCAGTTCTGTTCATCGAGAAATTATACGTCGCATCTGCCTTAACCTAAACCGAGATCACATGCTGTTATACAGGTATGACAGTCCAGTCAAAAATGTCTCGCATATTTTTAAACGAGGATAGCGTGAATGATTTTACGAAACCTGCACTGGTGAATTCCATGTGAATGTGATCTTGTAAATTCCGACGAAATGGCAGGAATCATTAAGTGCGTAAAAAAGAACATATAGCCGGCACTCAAAGATGCATTGAAATCATGCATAAATTATGATGTATATCATGCATAAATTTAACCAAAATTTAATTAATTTTTCCTTGGGCAATGTCCATTAGTGCCATAAACTTGTATTGTGACCATAACCAACATTTCAGTTTGATTATCAAACAAAATAGAATGAAGCAACTTTTAGCGATTGATAATCATAGGTTTCATCGTTATATTTTTGTATAAGATAAACACCGAGGAGGGATTTAGTGTCAGATAATGACATATCTGACATAATTCCCGACTTTCGAGGTGTTTATCATATTTAATTCTTGATTGAGGAAGTTTTCCAACAAAGTTTTCTCTGTTTCGTCTGCTTTGAACGACGATTTTCTGAGTTTCCCTTCATCTTTTCAGCTAATTAATATGAAAGAAAACCGACTCAATCAAGAATTAACTCAAAATAAGTCAACTAAGAATTTTCCAATGAATTCGATTCACAAACTACAGTATATGCAGATTGAATAACCAACAACTCCTGGGCGTTTGTCCGCACGCTGCGTTTACAACAACAAAATCTATTTCATTCGTTTTTCAATAGTTTGGTTTTACCTGTTCTTAAGGTGGTCTTATACATTGAAAACTTTTTTTCCTAATTTAATACCTTTTCCTCATTTTTTATTCAAATATTATAGAATATGGGTGGCTGACTCAAATTCACTCACTTATACATTTGTTGTTGCCATGATAACCAAGATAGGACCCCCTATAGGGCAAAATATGGCGTTTGCGCCAAAAATGATAGGAGTCAAAGTAAACTACCCATGATCTCCCAAACAGCTTTAATTGATACAAAATAGACCTATCTATGATGTGAACCTAAAAAAATACTTAGCTGGAGGCATAAAGTGTATAAATTTACGCTTCTTTCTAGATGAATGAAAATATGGGGGTGCGGAGTTCAATAGTAGGGTTACCTTGTGGTGAGAACTCACGCATGGTATTTTTTAGGTTCACATCACAGATTTAGAAAATTTCACCTTGATTGGATAAATAGCAAACTCAGGAGAGTTTTTGCCAGCTCGTGAGTTGACAATTTGAGAAAATTAAGTTTAAAATATTTGTAGATATTTTCTCGACAAACAAACCTAATTTAAAGGCTAGAATAGGCATCTAGAAAGTTTAAAATAAGCAAACTGCATGTTTTCAACTACACTAAAGCTCTTGCTGTCTCTATCACCAAACAGTTCATCACATTGACGTTTACGTGAACTTACTGAGTGCTCAAATATACACTTTGCGCCTTCCGGCTCAATAGCTGGTGCTGATCCAATATGGTTTGTTTTACACTTCAAGGCATGTTCTGCTTTCATTTCTTCAGTCTCTAAGTCATCTTTGCCTTAAACGTGTTACAGCTGTGATGCACTTTACTGAGAGGCTCCACATCTAAAATTTTAGCAGTTTCCATGGAGATTACCGGAAACACAACCACGTAACGAAGAGAATCCCCTTCTTTGTCAGGTACCGTCACATGATATTATTATTATTATCTCTCGTTTATTTCGCTTCTTGTAATTACAGGATTAAATTGTAAGCGATTTACAAGTTTATATTAACAATAAAATATTTACAAAGTAATAAAATTATATAAATATACTATATAAGGAACAAATATTATAAAATAGAAATTTTGTTACTATTTATATCTATATGTTAAAAATTTTTTACATCTATCAGTCCGGATTTTTCTTACACCTATTTGGTTCTGATTTCCTGATCTTAATTTAATTAATTTAATTAATTAATAAGGTGGTAGTCAGCCCTAAATTTAGATCGACAGTTTAAATTTTTTTCAACATTTTTTTTTGCTTTACTGACTTCATTATTTATTGTATTTTCGCCCCCTGAACTTTTTTTTCTGGTATTTGAAAGAGTTTCTTCAAAATATCCATTTTTATGGAAGGATGTCATAAAATTGTGCATAGCAACCATTTAGGATGACTTGTTTACTTTGGTTGCCATGGACTTTCTACCCCTGAAATGTATGATATTTTCGCGACAACCCCTTTGCCATTTCCCCCTTTATGCCTGCACTAAAATATCGCCTGATTGCAGGTTGAAACATCGATCAGGCCCTTGTGTTTACATCACACATGAATTTACATTTTTGAGTAGCTATACTTGGTATACAATATCTCGCAATCCAGCTGTTTACAAAGCGTTTTTAAGTTATTTTTTAACGAGGAAATGGTGAGAGAGGATAAAAGGAAGAAAGGATCAGTAAAGCATGGAAAAAGAAGGGGTTTTTCTGGCAAAAGATGGCAGGAGATAGCCGACGAATTTACAAATGACGCCAATCCTCGGGACGCCAATCCTCAGAGTTTACCCGGTGTTAGCGAGGTTTTACCAACGAATACAACTGCCGATCGCGAAAGTGTCTCGACTAAGAAGCTTCTAAACAGTTCTTTTGAGAAATTCGAAAGCAGCCGAGGAATTTTGACTCGTGAACAAGCAAGAAAAGTTGGTTTAGGATCGGCACGTGATGTTGAAATTGCAACCGGATTTAAAATACAAGATGCCACTCTCTTGAGCGATTGCATTTCGGCCGCAGCAGTATGTAGTTCCTGTCGTAAAGCAACATCAAAACTTAAACTTTATCAACGAAACAGCGATAGAGAAGGTTTGTCAGAATCATTATTCCTGCAATGTTCGTCTTGTGAGGTGGTGACTCCATTACCAACAAGCAATCGACTAGGTGGCAAAGGTGGTGTGTCTCATGAAGTCAACCGTCGAGCAGCTTTGGCTTCCCATCAATTTGGCCATGCTGGATTGACACAGTTCTGTGCTGGTATGAACTTACCTCCCCCAGTTGGTAAAGATTCATACAATAAGCATCTAATTAAAATTGAGAAGGCTGCCAAAACCAGTGCCGAAGAAGTAATGAAAGATGCTGCCAAAAGATTATTCGAAAAGGTTATGTCAGAATGTCCGGATGATATTGAGGAGGACGGCGAAGATTTGATTGCTCATGTTTCTGTAACAGTTGACGGTACCTGGCAGAAAAGAGGTCACTCATCAAAAATCGGAGTGATCTTTGTTATCTCAGTTGCAACTGGGGAAATCCTAGATTATGAAGTAAAATCACTCTTCTGCCATGAATGTAAAGCTCATAACAACCAAGATCATGAAGGCGACGAGTTCCAAGAGTGGAAGAAGGCTCATGAACCAAAATGTGAAGTGAACCATGTAGGATCGTCTGAAGAGATGAAAGCTGTGTCTGCTGTTGACATATTTAGCCGAAGTATTGCAACAAGAAAATTAAAGTATACAACCTTTGTTGGTGACGGAGACAGCAGTAGTTTTGGCCGGGTAAAGGAGGCACTGGATAAAAAGTTTGGTGCTGCTTATGAAATTAAGAAAGAGGAATGTGTGGGGCATGTTCAGAAGAGGCTTGGAAGTGGTTTGAGAAGGTATAAGAATGACATGAAGGGAAAGAAACTTTTGGACGGTAAATCGGTTGGAGGAAAAGGACGGTTGACAGACAAGGTGATTGATAAAATGCAAAATTATTACGGCAAGGCAATTCGGGGAAACAAAGGAAATCTGGAAGGGATGAGGAGCAGCATTAAAGCCATTCAGCACCACATGATAAAGAATGATGAACTAACACTAGAACAACAACACCAATACTGTCCCAAATCATCTGATACATGGTGCAAATACTGGAAGGACAAAGCCGACGGAACTAAGTTGTACAATGAAGATAACCGGTTACCTGAGGTTTTTATGAAACAATTGGACCCACTTTTCACAAGGCTATCTAATGATGACCTCTTGAGGAGGTGTTTGAAAGGGATGACCCAGAACCAGAACGAGGCAGCTAATGGTGTGTTATGGTCCAAGTGTCCGAAAACCAAGTTCTGTGGTGCAAGGCGCGTACGTATTGCAGTATGTGAGACTGTTGCTGTGTTCAACACTGGTGCTGCAAGCAAAGCTGTGATAATGAACTTGTGTGGTGTCACCCCTGGAGTCCATGCAATGAGAGCTCTTAGAAAGCAGGATGACACCAGACTGAAGACTGCAGCTAAAAAGGTAAGTATGAAGTACCGAGAGAAAAGACAGAAACTCAGGGCGCAGCGAAAGTCAAAAGGTGACAAGATGGCATACCAACCTGGTGGCTTTGGACTAAGTGCCAAGCCTGTTGACACTGGAAAGAAAAGAAAAAGAACACCAAAACAGACAAAAACCAATGACGTAAATGAACAACCACAAATAACCTTTGTTATGCCGACTATTGAAGTAATTGGTAAAAAACGACGGACATGACATTCGGTTTTGGTGTCTAGAATCTTTATTTGAGACATTTTTACTGAAGAAAAGACAATTGTATTGAACATATGTATCTTATTGCAACTCATTGAATATACAGGTAACATTTGTCTGTAATATGTGTGCTGTATGATGCACAAAGTTGGGGCAAAACATTAGTTCCTTTTTAACCTTGATTATCTCAAAACGAGCGAGTTTTGTATTATCAAATTTGTGGAAAGCCTAAATGAAAGGGAATTTAGTGTATTGCCCTGATTTTTGGACTGCATATGTATCTCATGACACTTTACAGGATCAGCAGACAGTTTTTCCAAATTTGCGGTTTTGGCCTTGTCACCATGGAAACAGTGCTTTTTTAGCGTTCGGACAAAACTATTTGTCAAAATGAAATTCTGTCTGCTTGTCCTGTACCCTAGGTCATAAGAAACAATCTCACCAAATTTGCAGTTGATAGCTATTTTTGTTCTAGAGATATTCTTTCCGCAAATTCTTGCTGTGCCGCAGTATTCTGCTGTTACCATGGCAACTATTTAGTGTTATTCACTTCAAGTAAAGTTAAAATTTGTATACTAATTAGATCTTGCTTTTTGCCAATTTTTGTGGTGAATGAATAAATCCTGTTGAAAGTAGAGCAAAAAGAGTGTTTTGGGAAATTTAGGAATGACTACCACCTTAGTTATAACCGTGTGTATTCGTATAGTATGTTTTTGTTAAATGATGTAGAGTATGGGACGGATCTTTAAGTTTATTTATATACTTCTTACATAAGTCTACTCTCCTGTCTTTAAGACTTTCCAATTTAGAGATATTTAATGCTTCGCCATAGTCACTACCAGGATATATAATCCAGAGAGCTCTTTTCTGTACTCTTTCCAACTTGTCACTTACATACTGTGGGAAGTCAGACCAGGCTTCAACAGCATATTCTAGAATAGGTCGAATCATCGACTTATACACTAGAACAAGTTCCCTTTCCTGCAATCCAGCCTTCTTTAGTACTCTTAATGCATACAACCTTTTACACGCCTTTTTTGTTTTGTCGTCAACCTGCGTATTCCATTTAAGATTACTTCCGAGCATATATAGCACTCCATTCTCACCACATTATTACTTTTCAAATTGTGGAGTTTGCCAACAGCATGTTTCATGGTTGATTCAGCTACTTTTTTGGTAGCATGCAAGATGGCATTTGTGCGGTTACTATAAGCCCTCGGGGTAATGGGTTCGGCATGTCCATTGTTGAGCAGAATCTTTGCATACCAGATAAGTCACAGCCAATATACCTCATTCCATAAATCATTCTCCTGTTTACTCCAAAACAATGACCAAGTTTTTTTGAAGTATAGAACTCTTCAGAGTGTCCACACGAAGCACAACCCATCCGCTTGGTATCATCTTCAACAAGTTCTCACTGGAATTCCAAATTAACATACCATGGCATGGATTTAACAATATTCCCCAAAATATTAACATCAATAATTCTATAACCAATCGACTGAAAGAGCACTTGCTTTTATCAAGTAAACCAGTTGCTCCAGCCGAAGCTGAAATGTCTGACACATGTGGTTGCGGCTTGGTCTTCTGATCTTGATTCAGACACATTTGATCGCTCGTCACTTAAACCTTAAACCTTAAACCTTGAACTCTAAGCGTGCAAAGCATAATAGGAGCATCATTTAATTAGTTTAGAAATCATACCCATTTCTTAGAGACATGGTAAATATCTCCTTACAAGAACAATTCATTCACAAATAGCTGCAATATTCAACTACTAAGCTTAATACTTGTGCTCCCATTAAGCTTTGCGCGCTTAGAAGTTAAGGTTTAGAGTTTAAGGTTTGCAAAGGACAACCTTTTTTGAATTGGCTGTATACGGCATTGTCAATTGTCATTAAGTTCAACTTGCCGATTGTAAGTTTTCAGGCATTAGCTGTATACATGTCAAGAAATCATGACAAAATTCTTTGCCTTTGGAGCATTACGTATGACCTAGTTCAAGAACACCTTTGTCATGTTTGCAAATTAGTCAAATTTCATTAGACCAAAGCAACTTTTTGATTTGCATGGGCTTTAGCTTATATTCAAAAACTCATTAATAATTCATGAAGCAATTATCCAATCTTGAGTAAGAAATTAGTCACGTGCATACGTCTTTATACCAGCTAAAGAACACTTTAACAAAAGACCATTGTTATGCAAACTATATAAAGGTTTTTATATAAAGATTTTTATATAAAGATTTTTATATAAAGATTTGACTTATTATGCATACGTTTTTGAAGTCATTTAAAAAACTCGCGGGTTGTGTTTTATTAGGTCTAAAGCCACTCGCGCTGCGCGCTCGTGCTTTAAACCTAATAAAACACTCCTGCTCGTTTTTTAAATAGTACGTGAAAAATGTGCAAACAGCGCTATTTTAAAAAATCGGTAAACACACAAAGTTGTTTTCTCGACATGCTATAAACGTTGCCTGGTGCAACATAAACAAATTTTTATAGTTTCAAAATAATTGTGAAATATCTTTGAATTGAGTTGGCTAGCGGGGTGCAAAATAAAGTAACTATGGGTCTATGGCTATGCCTATGGCTATGCACTGATAAAAACATTCATTTGGCTTTGTACTTCACGAGCAGTGCTTTGTAAACTTGCACAAAAAGATTAATAGCTAGGTTACCCATATATAAATCGAGTCACATTCGGTTTGCTTTTCGGCCGCTATAGATCACAGACAGATTTCTGACTTACACGAACACGAAACTTTGCTAATCTTGCTATGAATGCATGTACTCGAGATTGTTCTGGATTTTCTGCTGTTGTGTTCTACGTGCGCGTTCGTCACCTAGCAACATTTGAATAATTTTCCACCACAATGCTTTTTCTCACATGAATAATTGAACAAATTGACATAATTATCAAGCGACTCTTGAGAACTGTCCTGCATCTGGTTGACAGGAGAGCGTGCCGTCGATTTCAAGAACTTTTGACATGTGGGCATTACATTTAATGGTGGTTGTCGCTGGCGTCTTCATCAATAATGGTACGTCTTTAGTTTTTTTCATGAGTGTTATGGTTCCTTAAGGTTTTCGATTAGTTTCTATTACTTTCATATTGCATTGGCTCAGTAATGATTGGATAAGATTCGGCTTTTTGAGGCAACTGTGAGTTTACATTCTCATATCAAAAAGTCAAATGTTATCGCAGCAATTACTGCAGTACCAGAATACTTTTTATATACATTTGCTGGGCTTCGTGACCCAGTATGTTTGGCATTGGTCACAGACCACAGCAATAAAACAGTATGTAGCATAGTCATTTGCTTCGCTCTTGTAGATAACTGATTATAATGCAAATCGTTCGGAATATACCGCAACAGGAAAGACTCTAGCGACTTAAACCTGATCTTATTTCTGATAGCAGCTCCCGTCCAAATCATGCTAAGTTATTAGTTCAGCCTAAGGCCTATAATATATGTTTTGTAAACTCTCAACTCAATTTGATAAACTGGACTACGTACCAGGAGGGTGCTATTAAAGTTGTCAAAGTTGTCATTGTGTGATTTGTTTTGACGAGTATTTTATATTATTCTACCGAATTGCTTCATTCTGCCTAGAATAGAAGCAGTTGCTATCCATAGCTTCGTAGCTTTAAAGTTACAATATATAGCTATAGATATAGAGACAATTATTACACCAACATAAATTCGATCAACATTGATCAAAGAGTATGTGAAAATACAAACAAATTTAAAATATATGCACGATCGGTCTATCAAACAAAGCTCTGAGTTTGATCAAAGATTTAGTTCACGTATATATATTAAAGATCAAAGGTTCGTAAGGCTGGTTTGCAATTGCACCGGCTATCAAAGTTCCTGTGATCACAGTAGGAATAGTTTGCATATGTAAATCCAACGTTTTGAAGGATTTGTTTTGAAAGAAAATTCGTGAGAGCTGACTCTGTGTTTAAGACTTGCATGTATTAGTTCCATCAAAGATTTCTTACAAATCCATTAAATCGTGGAATTTACCAATGCAAAATTTCTTGTGTAATCACAGAAACTTTGATAATGTAAACTAGCCTATAAAATAGCTTGCAGCCAAGGTTCACACAGAAAAAAACAAATGCGAACCAGACCTACGAAATATATAAATATGCTATAACCATGCTTGCTATATAACCCTGGTATAAACCGAAATAACCATGCATATATATATATATATATATATAGCTACGTTTATATCTGAATTGCTTTTATAGTACCGCAAATCTTTTCCCACACTATACAGCGTTTATCAACAGCCATATTTTATTCAAATGCTATAGCTCTGACATTCACTCATATAATTTGAATTTCATTAGAATATCAGATCCCGAGTATTAAAACGCGACTGCGAATAATCTAAATGTATACTTGGTTTTTGATAATTTCTCGTGAGTAAGGCTTTCTGTCCAATGTTGACCATCGCGATGTGAACATGCAGTAGGGCTAAGAGTCATGCGCAGTAAAATATATAGTCGGCGGCAATCTCATATTATTAGCAAGTGCACCGGTTTTGGACTGTAGGATTATGGCATTATGCTTAGTGCTGGAATTTTTGTATGGACAGTGCCATGCTAGCTGGTGTAGCACAAAAATGTTTCGTTTGCCACTCGTGTCGGATTCGCCAATAAGCGAGCAAGCGTTTTAGTCGTGAAAGCTAAATCACAAACCGCGTTTATGATCAGAAATTTAAAAAAAACGTATAGGTATATACCGAATATCCTAGTTTTTAACAAAAACGTTTTAAAACCGGAATTAAATTAAGACTATATAGCTGAACGCGTTGTCTATATATCAATGAAAACCAGTAAAAATCACGCCAATCGCGAGTTTTTGGCGAAATTTTTATTGTTGATGTAGCGAATTGCTGGTGCGATAGATTTGTACTGAAATAGCGATAGATTTGAAAACGATTTCCTAGATTTTCGTTAGTTCTATAAACAATTGACGAAATTGAAACGCAGGCTATATTATATACTCAATTCTTTTTCATCCGGCCAGTTCCAAAACAGTTTGGCGACTGATGACTCAAATAAATCTGTCCATTTGGTACTGTCAAAATTTAGCAATTATAGTTACTAGTTAATTAAGATGAACTTTTACGTAGCTAATTTTAAGTCTCTAGATATTAATTTTCAAAATTACAATTGTCAATTTATCATGAAATATTTCCAGTTGGCAAAAGTATATAGCTATCATGATGTGGCTGTCTTTTTACCAGCGAGTAATTTCTGTTTTCCGTTAAAAATATCAGACAAGTGAAGCTGTGCACTTGTATTGAACTGAATTTTATAATTAATAAATACAAAACTCAAAAGTAAAAATGTATTGTCGTGCCAACGTGCGTGCATGCACAATTCGTTTTATATATGCAACCAAAAACTCGGAAGGGATATAACTCAGTGATGAAACAAAAAGGCAATGCATTGACTTGTTTTTTGCATTCGAATGATTTATGGCATGTCGCGCGCGATCGTGTTGGTTGAAAAATACGACTAAATATAGACATGAAAGCTATATCATTTGGTCATGAAATCGGCACTGTATATCAAACAACATAATTAGATTTTTATCGTTCGTTTTACAGTCAAGAACTGGCAGAACTAAACCGATTTCCGGATAGAACATTTGTGAACTCTTACTGTTTCATTCTGCGCACATAAACTTGCTGACAATTTTGAGCTGGCATTTAAGAAGTATTTACATATACTGATGTCTAATGTAGTAATGATCAATTTTTTCATTTTTCTAGGTTTTGCTCAGATTTTCGAAGGCAGCTCGGAAGGGAATGGGGATGTCGTGGGAGGTAAGAAACTATTTTAGCATACAAAAAATTATTTGGAACGGTTTCTGTTTATTTTTGTTTGCTCCGCATGAGGTTTCACTTGTTTTGGGCAACATGGCAACGGCCAGCGGCACCCTAAGATCATGGCATTGTGGTTGTCTGAGGTTGACGGATGTATATAAAGAAAACCGTTCGTCATGCTATATATGTAATGCCAAAACAGTTTTAAGTAACCTACATTTCAGATAGATTTTCCAAATATTGTAGCTATATCTCTTTTTAATAAGCTATAATGATAAAGACAATCAAAAGTTCGACTAAAGACATTAATAATTAAACACGTTTTGTAAAGCAAAAGTCCCAAACCCTATATTTAGACTGCTATATATAATTATATAGTTTTATGCTATATTCGAGAAACTTCGAAAAACTGGTAAGCTAAATTTGAGGTTTCTTTGCTATCGAATGTCGTTATTGTAAATTAAATACTAGAAACATTACTTTTTGCTTTGTTACTCTCTGGAAACGTGCATGGAATTAATTTTTTTCTGTTTTTCTAAGAGAATTGTATTTTCGAATTTGATCGAAAGCATGCAATCGGACTACAAAACTGTGTGAAATCGCCAATTCTGAAATCTTTTAGGCTTAAAAGCGTAATGCATGTCCACGAACTAAGTTAACTGTTGATAGATGACAGTCATTAAGATTTTTTCGCTTAAGATAATTACGTACATAAAAAAACCGTTTTCTTTTTAACAACATTCATTGCATTTTGAGATACAAAAGGCGCGGTCGTTAAATTAAATATATTCAGGTCGTTTCAGATTAAAGACTAAAGTGTGGAATGTGTCTACGTAAACATGCTATTTTAAGCACAAAACGAAAGCTAGTAGGAGGCGGTAGTCAGAAGTGAAGAATGCGAAGTTCTTTTATGCTGTAAAGTCCGGGGTGGGGTCGTGAGCGTGCAAGATTGAAAACGACCTAAAAAGAGTCGAATTGTGACCCACAGAACGACACTTTTGGGAGGTAGTTTTGGCCTTTTCAATTTAGAAATCGGGGATAAAAATCTATGTGTGCGAAATCTTTAACGCGAAAACTCAAAAGTACATTATGCTGTATCTATATTACTGCATGGCAGAGCCGCGAGAGCGACCGCCTTCTGTCCCTGTGATAACTTGTTCGCGATTCCAGATGCCGACACAACATATCACATTTGCATGGAAGGAGCACATTAATACTTTTATGGTCAAGATAGAATCATGATTCCATTATACATCGTTGCCAGTATGTAGCAGTGCACGCAATTGACAAGGACGAAATCGAAATAATTGAATGACAAAAATATCCTTCCTTGCATCGATCCTTCCGTTTGAAACATAAAATAACAAAACATAATTCAACTTTTAAGACGGTTTTCAGTCAAATTTATATGTAGTTTAGAAATTGAAGATATTGCTGTTAGTGAAAATACGAAATTTAAACCGATTGGATTCACTCTTATAGTATAAAAAACTACTATATTTCAACCCACTGTCGCAACACTTCGGCACTAAAAAATTTAATTATACGCGTATAGGTTGTGATATGCTTTTTTAGGTATACGTAATATTTATGTATTGTCACTGGGCGGTACATTGTGATGCCTGTTAATGTTACCACTATTAGCTAGTAATTTTAACATTACCAAATAAAGGAACAACTATTATTTTTTAAGTCGAGATAAAGTGATTGTATAGGTACGTACTTACAGTGAAAAATCATACTAAGTTGGTTCTTTAGCTGGTTCTTATTTCTATTGCCAAAAGCAATTATGCCTGGTTTAGTGTTTAACTTGATTTGTTTTCTCAAACTTGTCAAGGACCGTGCAGCAATTTTATGATTAAGCCGTTCGTGTTGAAATGAACCTTCATATAACTAAGGGGTGTGTGGAGGCACGCCATTAGTGAAGATTCTTGTCGATTTTTTATCGTATTGTAAAATAACAATTACACAAATACGCAACGGTCAAGTCGAGCGTTAATCCGGTTTTCCACTCCGCCCGTATCGTACCGAAACGTACTGGTGAGCATGCGCAGATTGAAAAGAGGTTTATAAATCCACGTGCTTCCGGGTGTATTCGCGTATCAAAATAAAAAGTTCGTCACAAGTCAACTTTTTGGCGTACTGCGGAAGTACTAACCAATCAACATTCACGAAATTTTGAAATTTAAAAACGTTTTCGCTACGTTACGGTACGGGCGAAGTGGATAACCGGCTTTACTTTGCTTTGAAAATCACGTAGGCACGCTTAAAACTGCGACAATATAGAAGCCTAAAACACTTTTCAAAACTGATAATTTTGGTTCAGTCAATGGCAATGCTAGGTAAAAAAGGAGAAATAAATTCAATTATCCAATGATACTATATAGCCAGCTGAGCATGCAACTACTGCATTATGTTTTTCTATATATTTTTTTTTATATGTTTTATCAGAACTAGTTTCGTTTGTCAGCCTGAAGTGCATGGTTCTTGCATTTTCGGTGCTTAATTGCCTAAATTTCAAGCTTAACCCACTGGTTCTTTTATGCGGGTATTTATACTTGTATTTTCTTTTTATTACAGAGAGATTTGTTGAGTTTTCTAATGACCCCGTTTTATCGGTCGATGCACAGGAATATGGTGAATGTACCCAGCGGGAGGTTCCTGGTTTGTCGTTTAACATGAGAGGGAAATCATTTACTAAAATGTTTGTGAGTATATAATTTATCATTATCCATTACCTATATTGCACTCTTCCTACTTCCACATACCCTTGCATATATACTCCCACCTGCATGTCCATCTGTTTGTCATCCTCTGTTTCTGCCAACACATGCTTCAGTAACTGCAATAGTTGTAATTTTATTTTTAATGAAATACAGTATATGTGGCGAATTAAATTATTAAAACAACTATTGAGACCAAGGTTTAGATTTGACTTTCACTACCGCCACTGTTATCATTAACTAATCAGATATATTTAATCTACCTGATTAACCAATCAGATGCGAACTGAGCCAGCAAGGGGTTACAGTTTTGTGGAAGTCAAATCTGAACTAATTTTCTAGATTTTGCCGCGATGGTAACACAACGGTTAAAAAGAGTATTGCATTGTAGCCCCCGAAGGTGGCTGCACTTGGATAACTTGTGCTAATCAGAGACTAAAAATAACAGTATGGCGTGGGCACAATTTTCAGTTATAACGCTTTTCATTGGCTGCACTTGGATAACTTGTGCTAATCAGAGACTAAAAATAACAGTATGGCGTGGGCACAATTTTCAGTTATAACGCTTTTCATTGGCTAGTCCATAAATGTGACAATCATCAAACTTGACCACGCCAACAATTTTCGGCAAATTGAGGGAGCATTTGCGCTGTCGTTGCAGAGCATTATACAAGAGCAATTGGTCTTTTGCGGCGGAATTAAACAAATTTACCAGCACTCATTGCATTGCCGTCACCAGGAAAATATTGTCAGTGTGCGGACCGTGTATCCATATCTTAAGCTAATGATTAAACCAGACACTGACGAAGTCGTAATTTGATTCTTAACAGATTTGCCCAAACGGTTTAATCAGTTTTACCGATCCCAACATGCAAAATTGGCCATTTACTCTTGGAACGTTGTCCACACAGAGAGATTCCACCTTTATTGCTCCCTATTGGTCGAGGGTTAATCTACCAGGTTTTACCTCAGGAGATTCCAAAGTGCGCTACAACGGCTACCACAAAGATTTCAACAACAACGCCAATGTTTTTAACAAGGTCAATCAGGACGTGAGGACATTTAAGGGAGATAACAGTTTTGAGGCAACCTGGGTCTCTGTTATAACTTGGGAAAACGTTCAGCCGTTTGACACAGGCACATTTGGCGGGGTAAGCTAGCATAATTTGCGTATCATATATATTAGGAAAATTTTATACGTCTACTTTGACGACACTTTCTTTATATAACATACTCTTACTAAGGGATTAAAAATGGAAGAACTTGTGTCAATATTGTTGGCAGAGTAAATCGTAGGCCATGTCCAGAATTTCTTGCGGTTACTTTTGGATAACAGTGCGAACAGGCAAAAAGTAGGAACTTATCCAACTTTTTCGCGGCGAATTTTTTCGCTCATCAATTACATTGCGAATACTTGTTTTTTGCTTCGCTTCAGTCGCGCGAACAAATTCGCATAGTGGAAAATCGGCTTAAGACATTCATTGATTACAGCGAAATTGCCTCGTGTAACATAGACTGTTGAAACCAGTGGATGAAATTATCCTGACTCCATAACTCTATTTTCATATTACAATGACCTCCCCCAATTAATTTGATATACCAGTCATCACTCCTTGGTATAGAACAAAACAATAGACACTCCGAAAATAGTTAACATTTTAATCGACGTTTCGACTAGGTTTCAGTCATCATTAGGTACTTCTTGGTATCGTATCCTAATCTGGCAACAGTTTTAGTCAGTTTCGTTGTCTTGAGAGTGATGCTCCGTATTTACTGAGAGACACTGGGGTTCACCTTATGCGCAGGATATACTAGTATAACTGAAACTATTTTTTTATATATCGGCCTTATAGAAAGACACATTTCAAGCAGTATTGGCATCGGATGAAACAAGTTGGTACCTTACGTATAATTATGGGGATATGGACTGGGCAGTTAAAGCTCCAAGGTTTGTGCTGTATAATATGGTGCGTCATATGTAACAGGGAGGAGTGTAAAAAATGTTTAATATATTAATATATTTTTCTTATATCCTAATGTTTTCACTAAATTTTTCCCGTTTCAGAAGTGTTACTGCATGTGATCGGTTTTTTTTTAAATTTCTGGAAAAAGAGTTTTAAACAAATACCTTTGCACTTATAGGGCGGATTATGCTCAGTATGAAAATCAAGCCGGATTACCAGTCATGGGTTGGAATGCAGGAGAAGTTGGGTTTGATTACTTGGTGAACGAACAGTACGTAAATTTACCCAAGTAAGTACAGTAACATCCACACGTTTTTTAATTAATACATAGTAGAATCCCGCTATCTCAAACAGCTGAAGAAAACAGAAAAACTTTCAAGAGTTAACCTGATCAGTTTGAAATTACAAAGCATAAGTAATAACCATACATAGTATTGCATTGCGGTGCCCAGCACAATTTTCCACGCTGATTGGTTGCCTTTGAGGTGATTATTTAACAGTTATTCCACTATTGCACTCACTCTCGTCGACTATGAGCGACAGCCGATTCGTCGCTACGCGTCTCATCGGCTATCAGCTCATATTCGACTCGAGTCAACCAATCAGTGTGGAGAATTTTCAATAATCACCTATGTAATTATACTGATACAAATTAACGTATAGTCGTTCTCCACTTTTATACAATAAACACTGAGAATACAGTTTATTTAACAATTCAGTGGGCTCATCCTAAAGTGAAGGAGTGCATGCTCTATTTAACAATTAGACAACGAGGCCGAGTTGTCTATGAGCGAATAGTCAACGAGGCGAAGACGAGTTGACTATTTGCTCATAGACAAAGAGGCCGAGTTGTCTAATTGTTTTAGTATAAACTTTAACATTAATTTACAACTAG